ACAGGAAAAAAACAGGCTATATAAAGATAAGAAAACTTAAAACAAACTATACTTAATATTTTCAAATAATTAAAAAAGATATTTCACTCATAAAACAGGAATGGGATGCTCTAAAAAGAGAAATAGTCAGAGAACTACCTTCAACAATAGCATAAATGAAAAAGAACAATACAAAAGTTGGAAGGTAAATTTAAGGAAATTTCCAAGAAAGGAATAAACAATGAGATAGAAAGCAGAAAAGAAAAGATAAGGAAATTAGATGATGAGTTCAGGAAATCCAACATCCAAATCATAAGTGTTCCAGACAAAAAAGAGGATGGATAGAAATGGAGGTAAGGAAGTGGTCAATGGAACTTCCCAAGAAACTTTCCCCAGACTGAAGAACACAGGGTTTCTATATTGAAATTACTCACGGAATCATGCAAGCTCTCAAACATTTAGGTTCCACTCACTTTTTTCTCAAGTGGTTGCACTAAAATGAAGAAGTAAACCAAGGAAGGAAGACAAAGGATATAGGACACGAGAGACAGAACACAGGGGGAGGGCAAAGGGAAGCTTGGAATGAGAGTGACGATTGATTCTGGGATTTCTGGGATTTCAACTGTGCGCCAAGCAGAGAAGGTATTCAGCCCAGACTAAGGCAGGTCAGAGGCACCAGGAGGGATTTCCTCAAGAGGCTGATAGAATATCCGATGTGAATGAAGGTATGGAGAGGACACACAGACAACTGGATTTTGAGCTTGAATAAAAAAGAAAATTATAAACCCCAGAGAAAAAAAACATTATAGATGAGAGAAAAAACAATTACAGTTTACTATATGGTTCAGTTTAATTCATGATCTTAATAAGATTGATAGTGAGTAGTGATCTTACCAAAATTATAATATACCTATATTAGGAAGATGGTCGTGGTCAGTGGAGAAGGTGCCTGGTATGAGTGGTCTGGAGAGGGGAATAAAAAAAAAATGCTTCTCTTCCATAGATTTTTGCCTAAAACTGTAAAATCAAAAAATAAAAATACAGGCCAGCCGAGTGGCTCAGTTGGTTAAAGAGAATGAGCTCTGAGCAACAGGGTTGCCGGTTTGATACCCACATGGGCCAGTGAGCTGCACCCAAGCTGAACTGCCACTGAGCTGCCAACAGGTGACAGGATGGCTCAGTTGGTGAGAGTATGTGCTCCTAACAACAAGGTTGCCGGTTTGACTCCTGCATGGGATGGTGGGCTACGCCCACCGGCAACTAAGGTTGAACATGGCACCTTGAACTGAGCAGCCGTGAGCTGCTGAGGGGTGGCCGGAAGGCAACTAGACTTGGAGCTGAGCTAGCTGCACCCTCCACAACTATTGAAGAACAACAACTTAGCTGTTCCCCTTCCCCAATTTCCCAATAAAATCTTTAAAAAAAAAAAGTAAAAATACAAATATGTTATGTAGAAACATGGAAGTAATTACCAGAAGAATCAGATAAAAGAATTGAAAGTAGTAGTTTCTGAGGAAGGAGAAAGGTTAAGGAGAGGGGGCTCATGCTGTTTGTCATTCTTAAAGAACGCAGTGGTTCTTCAAATAATGTGTATGTATAACTTCTTTAAAAATAAAATCTTGTTTTAAAAGACCATTATATTTCCACAAATAAAAATGAGAAAACTTAAAAGAAATAACAGCTTTATTTCATGTACTATACAATTCTCCCAGTGGTTTTTAGTTTCTTCACGGAGCTGTGCATGCATCACCACAATCAATTTTAGAATATGTCATCACCTCTAAAAGAAGCCTCATACCTATAAGCAGTCAGGTCTCATTCACTCTCAACCATCCCAGCCCTGAACAACCCCTACTCTGTCCTCTGCCTCTATGGATTTGCCTACCGTGGACATTTCATCTAAATGGAAACATATAACATGTGGTCCTTTGTGTCTGGCTTCTTTCACTTAGCGTAACGTTTCCATGTTCCATCCATATTGTAGCATGCATCAGTACTTTATTTCTTTTTATTGCCAAATAATAATCCATGGTATGGACATACCACATTTGTTTATCCATTCATTAGTTGATGGACATTTGGGTTGTTTCCACTTTGGGGCTATTATGAATAATGCTGCAATAAACATTTATGTACAAGTTTTTGTGTGAACATGTTTTCTTTTCTCTTGAATATATATGTAGGAGTGAAATTGCTGGTCACATCATAATTCTACATTTAACTTTTTGATGAACTGCTAGACTGTTTTCCAAAGTGACTACACTATTTTACATAATTTCTCCACATCCTTGCCAACATTTGCTATTCCTGAGTTTTTTATTACAGACATCCTAGAGTGTGTGAAGTGATATCTCATTATAGTCTTGATTTGCACTGAGATAACTTTTGAAATTTAACAAATTAGTGAAAATAAAATAGGTTGTCAAAACCCTATCTTGGCAAGGCTTTGAGAAAATAAACATTCTTATTGGGGGTGTAGTTTGGTAGAAAATTTTTGGAGGACAGTTTGATATGTCAGAATGTGAAATGTACTTAACCTATGACCATATTTCCCATTTCTGGGTATTTGACATAAGGAGAAAAGTCGTATGTTGGGAGAAAAAAATCTGTCTTCATTGTACCATTGTTCATAATCTCATAATATCAAAAACTTAGAAGATAACTTAAATTTCTACAGAGAAGAAATTGGTTAAATAAATTATGATGCAAACAAAATATCTAGACAGTCGCAAAAAATAGTGATGCAGGTATAGTATAGTTTTATTGTCATGGGAAACTAGCCATCACATATTGATTGGAGCAAAATCAGATTATTGAATATCTGCCTGATAACATCCCGTTTATGTAAAATATCTTTATGCTTAGAGAGATTTTTTTTTAAATGATGTGCAAAAGGTTAACAGTGATTATATACTAGTGGTAGAATTTTAGGTGATTTTTTTAACTTTGTGCTTTGTATTTTTTGTGTTAATTTAGTTTAAAATCAACCTCTATAATTTTTTGAGAAAATTATAAAACTTTTAAAAACCTATGTGCTTGAGAAGTCATGTTTTTGTACTTAATCAAGGCTTAAATTTTAGTAACAGACTCTTCCTCTATCATTATATTTTTATACCTCAAAACCATCTACTAAATGCATAAAGAAATTCATTATTGTGGTGATTATATCTGCTTGGCCTAGAACACTATCTTGGGCTCTTTCTTCCGATAATTTTATTATGTATTTTAGCCTCTGTAGGTTCTTTTTATGCGGAGGTATGCCAGGTATAGGACTTTGGAGACCTGCCAAAGCTCATGAGTAGGTCAAAAAGGTTCTCTATCTGTTCTGGTTATTTGGGATAATTGTTTTGGATTCACATCTTCTCTCTTCCACTCTTCTGTCCCCCTTTGCAGGAGAATAATGTTAACAGTAACAATCCACTTTCTTTTTCTTTGAGTTTGTTGTGAATTAGGAACTTTTCTAAATACACTTCCTTTGTGTTACTCATTTAACCCTCACAACAATCCTTGAGGTTGATACTAGAGTTATGTTATGTTTTGGATGAGGAAGCTGAGGCACAGAGAGGTTAAGTAACATAACGAAAGTCACTCAGCTAGGGAATGCAGAGCTGGGACTGAAGCCCAGTGAGTGTGGTCCCAAAGTACCTGTGATCTCAACTGTTAAACTCCACTGCCTCTGACTTTATTCCTAAACACAACTCTAATCACTTCTTCCGGGTTTACTTTGTGTCTCCCCCAAACTCTCATTTCTATCAGAAACGCCATGGAGGCTGAGCTAGTGAGTACATTTGACTGGACTTTCCTGCAACGATTGCTCTATGGAGTCATCTCTTTGCTGTTCATATATTTACCCACTGATTCTCTTAAGATTGTACTTACCTTTTTTTTTTTTGACATCCTCCTCCCTGAACTGTTTGAATTTCTAACTCCTCGAAGCAGGAGATGCATTTGGGAGAAAAAAAATTAAGTCTTGTTAGGTGTTTCAATTTTGCATTAAGACCCATTGGAAGAGTGCTTGGAGCTAACACAGCAAGCGTGCCCTGCCCTCTGCCAGGACTGCACGGCTTCTCAACCTCAGGCAGTGCAGGACACCTGGTGCGCCACCTGATCCACTTGGGGAAAACATAATTTTTATAAGGCTGTGGTTTATTCTGACGATAAGAGTAATACACATGCATTGCAAACATTTTGGGAAATACAAAAAGTATAAAGAAAAATATTAAAAGAATTGATAACCCTACCTACCATCCTGTGGTAACCACTAGGAACTATAATTTCCTAACATGTACTTCTCCTCTTTAAGCAATTCACATTCATTCATGACGACTGTATGAGTCTTCTAAATAAATAATTTACAGATGACGGTTTCAGAAAATGCCCATTCATGGAATTTACTGGGTAGGGTTATGGTTAAATTTAAAGATGTGCCAAAGTTGGTGAAGTTTACATTTCTTAATTGTATACTCTAGTTTGATTTTTATTAATTGAGGAAAGCAAGTAATTGTACATATTTTTTAAAAATTAGTATGAAATCAAACAAAAAGATATAATGACCTCAGTGATTTTATTTGCTCCTGCAAGTGATTTTTCCATTTATTTTTGCCTAACATGGCTGGATTGTACAATAAATCTTCAACTATGCTTGTGAATTGGCTGAAAAGGAGGTTCATGTATACAAGATTATGATCTACCTGATATACCATTAAAATTTAACTTTTGATATTTGGAATTTAGTTATTATTGTTTTTGCTATTTTGTTGTGATTGAAATTTAGTAAAATTTATATAGGATATTTTGCTGTTTTCCTAGGAAAAGGGTTATAAATCTCACCATTACAAAATCAACAACAAAAGAAACTCATGTGTTAATGTTACTAGTGATAATTATGTTAAGTTTGATTCAAGTTGAAATAGCTCGTACTGAACATTATTTTTAAAAGCCATTTCTTAAGAGAATGACTATAGAGAATGATCATAGAAGAGATTTCTATAATAAAAAAGCCTGTCCTCTTGTGTTTCCAGGCATCTGGCCGGCTGAAGAGGTTTTGGCTTACTACTGCCTCAAGCACAGTGATGTATTCAGGTATAAAGCTGCACTAAAAGTATATTTTTTTCAGCCCATTAGGGGTATTGTATCTGCATATTAAAGATTTCCATGATGACATTCTTCAAATTAAATTCTTTAAAAATTAAGAAAGAGAGACAAAGAGAGAGAGAGAAAGAGAGGAGGGAAGGAGAGGAGAGAGAAAGGGTGGGATAAAAAAGAAAACAAAGGGGAAAAAAGTTCGTGGTGAAAACATGTTGCTTCTGAAAAAAATCTGAATTGCCTTTGGGTACTAATATAGCACAGCAAGCTTTTTGCTATATGTCAAAGGCTTTTGATTTCCACTCAAGGCTTTTTATTTCACTTTGATTTGGGGGAAACAAAAGTGAAGCTCCAATCAATCCTTACTGATTGTGAAGGTAAAAAAAAAAAAACAAAAAACACACACAAAAAACAATAAAGACATTCTTTAAACTTCTGCTAGGGAAGTCATGATAGACTATTTGATAAATAAATACCCTACAGCTATTATTTAAAGATGCCATCCCACCCCTGGTGTTAAAGGCATTTTATATACTTAACAACAAGTATTTATAAAATATCAATTACTATTACAGATTCATGCTACGGAAATAAATGTTTTCAACTATCAGTGTGCATTATAGATCAAACCCGTGGATGGGATTTTAGGAAAAAGGAAAAGCTCCTTTTATTCAACAATTCTTAAGATGTTTGGTAGGTCCCAAAACGTATAGGTTTTTCATTTTAAATCTCAGTTTATAAAAGTCATCCAATATATACTCCCTAAATAGCCCATTATGATTTCAGACAAGCCGTTAGTGATCATGGTGTGTGTTTTAACAATATGTACTTAACAAGACTGGGTCAATAATATGTATTTTTTGAAGCTCTGTGGGTCCATATTTACCAACCAGTCTATAATTGCTCTGAACAACTAAAGACTCATTAAGCGAATGTCGGAACAGGAATGTTCTTGTTTGCCTTCTCCACCTACTTTCCCCTCTCTTTCCACCTCCCCCTCCCTTTTAGTGCTGCTTTCCCCCCCCCCCTTCTGATGAGGTAATAAACTTTCCAAAGTGGGAAGAAGAAACAATCTTAAGAGCCTAAGCGTCTACAATAAAAACGGGGCCGTATTGAATTTGGGCTGCAGGGCCCTGGAAGCCTGGCATTTGCTCATCTTGCTGTGCTTCAGCTCGACTGGAGCTCCAATCAGCGAGCAGTGGGCCAGGGCGACAGTGTCACACGTTGAGGACTGATGTTTAGGCACAAAGAGGAAGGTAAGTGCAAAGGGCCACATTCGACTGTCAGCTTTAACTCTGAGCAGCTTTACTTTTGAGCAGTGAAGTCAGAGCCCCGTCATTGCTTTAGCCTGGGTTTGCTGGCTTAACCATATTATGTCCCCGCATTGTTTATTCACTGTGTTGTGTTGGGGTCAGTTGTGATTTAAGTGTTAATTGCTAAATGCTCTTTGTGTAATTGTTCTTTATGGGGGTGGTTCAGCTTTCCAAAATGTTTCAGTTTGTTTTAGAATTTTTTTTTTAATTCAAGATTGCATTTATTTGTGTGTGTGTGTGTGTGTGTGTGTATGCGACTATAATATAGGTATATACACACTCATGTATATTCTTCATTTACTTGTCTAACTGTTTTTGAAGGAGTGAATGTGTGGATTAACAGTGTTATCCTTTCCTAACAATTATCTTTCGCTACTCTAGCTAGTTTAGTTCTAAAAGACAGCGCCATTGACAAGGGGAAAAAAAGGGAACCTTCTCAGATTTTTCAGCTCAGCGGTGGTAATGTTGCAGTGAACGCTAATGAGGGAACCCCCACTGATTTGCCTGCTTTGTGACTTTTCTATTTCATAATTATTTTTAAAACGCAAAACGCCATGAGGTAACGTAGTCATGTCTCCACAACTTCCTGGTCGCGCCGTTCTTACTGCAGATGGCAATTTGTTCTTGTAACATGTATATCCCTCGGACCATTTTCATCTAATTTATATGGGTTCTACCATTTCTTTTCTCTCTTTCAGGGACCTTGCTGTGTGTGAGCTAGGAGGTGGCATGACATGCTTGGCTGGGCTCATGGTAGGTCTTTTCTCAATTCCAGTCCCATTCAGAGGGAGGAACAAAAGGAAAAATGTTCCAGGGCCTCCAACTGCTGGGTCAGAGAACCGTCAACAGCATCAGCTGCGGTCAAGCTGCCGGGTCTTGAGAGACCTTCTAGATTGACTTACTTTCGGATTGTATTGATTTTATGGTTGCCTCGATGAGCAGAAACATTTTCCCTCAGTGTAGTCAATATCGCTTGTTGTGACATTCCAGGCCTCGCGCAGTCTTTCTTTGCCATAGCGAAAGCATTTTTTTTTTTCAGATTATAGTACCATTTGCTAAGATACAGGAATAGCCCGGCGAATCACAGTTGGAGCACCATGATATAGCTGCTAATGTTTTGCCTGCATTATTACACCAACAAACATGATCCAGAGCGCTCAGTAATTAGATTCTTTTGAATTAGATTGGCCATTCAGGAACGTCGTTCCCCATTCTCTGGGTTCTGAGTCATGTATTCAGGAGATATTATGTAGCAGCACAGTGCATTAGACAAGTTTTTATGTCTCTACAAATAAAAGCATATTGTTACACTGATTGGCATTTGACAAACCTGTCGCTCTTACACAATGTGTCGAGGTTACAGCCCAATGTGCGAGCATGTCAAAGCTCACAAAAAAATTACCCTCACAAAGCCATCTGCCTGCAATGCAAAGTTATATGAAGGGCATCAGGCAGTCAGACAGAAGCAAGCTGAAAGGCAGAGTGACAGCCTTGTATGATGGCTCTACTAGATAAACAGAAGCCCACAAATGAAAGCCTCTCAGAATACCGTCATCCGCTGTCACAATGCAATTACCGAACAGAATGATAGCAAGATAGAGGCTCCCGCAAATGGAATGATAAAAGTATTGACTGATTTGATTGAATGATTAAAATAATGCAGACATAAAATGAAAAAAGATTGAAGATTGTTACAGAGAAATAGGTGAGGAAGCATGATACTGAAGGCTTGTCATTCCTGTCTTCACTTCCACACAGACAAGCATATTTGCTCATTGTTTGCTGTGCTCCTTTTTTTTTTTTTTTTCCAGGTTGCTATTTCTGCAGATGTCAAAGAAGTTCTGTTAACTGATGGGAATGAAAAGGCCATCAGAAGTATCCTTATTCAGATAGAAAACGGGTTTGTTGTGTTCATTCCTTTTCCCCCCAGCTGAGTAACAATCGGTATAAAGGAAGACAGCATGGGGTATTAAAAAAAAGAGTGTAGTCCTAGTCACCCCCCCCCAGCTCCCCCACCTTACACATGATAAGTAATTAACCAGAAGTAGAAATATATGGAATTCACTGAGTACGAATAAGTGGGTTTTTCTATTTTGATAGCTTTTTATAGTCACTTCTCATGACAGAGCCTCTCAAGGCACGAAAGAACATTTATTTCATAATAATTCTCAAACACTCCTGTTCTTTTATTTCCGTTGAAATTTGCCAGTAGGAAAGAAATGATTTAATATTTATTATATTGGATATTGCTTACCAAAATTAACTTCCAACTTCATTTTGTTATTCCCTTTCTTGCGTTTGATAATGTATGTGTGTACCCATGTAATATTGTGCCCACTTTAATTGCTGAGAAGTTACCTGTATCTCCCCACTGGAAACAGCTATCAGGTTATTATGTCCTTTTATTTAGGATTATAAAAGCTATCTCTTTTTTTTTTTCTGCTATGCTATTACAGTTCAAACTCCATTATATTAGATTATGCTTTACTAATATGTACACAGAGTTCATGAAAATGGAACTGTACTTTAACTAAGAAAGCAAGCATAATTTGTGGCTACTTTAGCCATGGAGCTGATTCGTTCAGGGGCAGTTAACAGCCATTAGAAATTGAGAGGGAAAGAGGAAGCTATGTTTGCTTTGGATTTTTTGGTGTGCTTTATTTACATTTACATTATTAAAGGAGGTAATCTACTCATTTGAATTTTAGACCCCTAAAATGCCAAAGCAGTTCTGATTTTTGTGGCATCTTGCATAAAGCCCTTTCTCTATTCTCTCTTTCTACCTCTGCTATGTAATTTTTTGGAAATAAAATTCGCAGCCCCTCCATCAGGCTGCTCAAATAGGAGAAAGGGGAAAACAAGAAGCACAGTAGCTAATATTGTTCAGCAGCACTTGTGGGCTCTACAGAGCCCCACCCAGCTAATTGCCTGACAGACTTAAAAAAAAAAAATCAGGAAGGAAAAACAGCCAATCACAGTCTTGGCCTTTCATAGGAGGGAAAGAGATCACAAAAGGTGCTTCCTTTTTTAAAATGCAGGATTTTAATCATGATCTTCAGACTGTCGCAAGTTTCTCAAAATATTCCTGAAGATGAGCTGATGTTGTTTCATTCACTCTGCTTTATTCTGAGTTCTTTCGTGCACTGTATCATGTCACTGTGCTCCTCCTCCACATGTCAGGGAACACAGAGCAAGAGGAAGTCAGGTATGCTGGCTCAGCCTCAATGAATGTGTTCTCTTGGGGGAAGAGGGGGCCAAAAGGCAGGATTTTTGGACAAGAGAAGGTCATTGTAGCCACAGAAACTTTCAGATTGGACCCAGCAACCTGAGGATTTTTTCTTAAGTCAGCAGGTGTCTTATTTAATAGCATCAGAAACCAATTAGAACTTTTCTCAAACTATGGGAAGCGTCTGTAGTGAGTATGTAAATTTAATTGTACTAAAATTATTATTGAGCTAAACTACAAAGCTTCCAAAGAAGGGAAGCAATGCTAATGTCATTAATTAATGCACCTTTGCTTCACACCGCCAAAGATGCCATGCCAGCTCTTGAAATCAGAGAGGAAATCTCGGATTCTGTATTCACTCTGCCGGCCTTTCAAAGAAATGATTGGTACAGCCTCCTCCCAAGAAAATGGATTTTTAACATTTGGTCTTCAGAAGCTCAGCCCTGAGAGTGCTTTATTGTGCTGGGTTTTACAATGGGTTTAATATAGCGGGGTGCCAAAGGGCAGGAGGGGAAGAACTTTACAATGTAGATAAAGTAGGTCCTTTCAGGATGCAGACCCAAACTGGCAGCGTTTTATTTCATCTCTTAGGACTTTCCTGGTGGAGTTCTGTTTTTGTCATGCAGTTGTTCTATGTTTTTGTGCATTTTTGTATTGTAACTAGATCTAACTTTTTTTAATTAAGAGAAAAAAGCATGCATGAAGCCTTAAAAATTGGCAATGTGTTTTTCCTGCTTTTAGAATAACTAATGTTATTCTTGATTTGCTAGCAGAGCTTACAACTGGCATTCATCATAAACAGTTTTACTGAGTAAGGTTAATTTTTTTTTTCTATTTGTGTGCCCACTTTCTGTAAGAATAACTAATTCACTGACTCATGTACTGTTGATGCATATGGATTGAAACAAACTCATTTAAAAATTACTGTTTACATCTTTCTTTTAAAATTTGAGGAAGTCTAAATTATATAGCAGTTGTAGGATATTATCCAAAAATTACTTTCTAAAAACTAAAAGTGGATGTCAACAAAAAAAAAGGAGAGAAACATTGCCAGAAGCCACAAAATCTCTAAGCAAAGCTGCTAATTATTCTTAATGGGCAAGATGAGCACATTAAGAAACAAATGAATACATCAGCGAAATGTAATTGAAAATCGACCTGGCAGTCACACATCACATCTGAGTATTGGCCTGTATATTATTCTCATCGCTTCAAAAAATTATTTTTGTTGTTCTTGGCATCTGAATTTAATGAATCTAACTGAGTCTTACTTCCTAGTCTCTCAGTCTTCTAAGATTCTAATTCTTATCTTTTAAAATAAAATAGCATTTCCTGCTCTTTTCTTTTTATCTTCTGTTATTTCTATTTTTTAAATAGGTGAGGCAATGAAAGGATAAGTTCTGAGTATTTATATCATAAAAGCTTATCAAGCAGTTGTGAAGTTATTATCTCCTTAATGTATCCATTGGATTGGCTTTGTCTTCTAGAGCGCTCTACCTTGACCCAGGAAAGCTATATGTTGATTTGAGATTTATTAAACAAAGATGTCTGAAAAGAGATTAAGACTTGCGGTATAAGTGAGTGTTGCAAGTCCTAAATATTTTCTCAGACTCGTGTGTCAATGTCCCTGAGGTTCTCCTTGGTCCTTAAACTCCATGGCTGTGTCTAACACAGACCCCCACCTTGGAGCTGCCTCTCCCTACAGATGCCATTTTAGCTGCACCCGAAGAGAACAAAGGATAAGTTGGAAATGACATCATTGGGTTCATCCACTTCCAAAATTTATCCCAAAATAGTATGAAATATGTTCTCTTTTCTTCCTTTTAATGTAATAAAGAAATCTCCAAGTGTCCATGGGTAATAACTACTGCATAAAGTTTGTAGCTGGTGTTGGCAATGACATAAGAATAGGGAGAGAAATGGTACGTTGAGTTATTGTTGATGCTAACTAAGGCTCTTCCAAGTCATAATGAGTAAAATTACACCCCCTGAAGGTAAGCAGCCTTCTCTGGTGCACTCACTAACTTGCCCGACACAGGCACACTGACATGGCCCAACCTTAGTAAACACCAAGTGTGTCACCTACAGAATATGGCAATGCTTGGTGACTCTTTCTTGTGCTCCTGGCCCAAGCACCTTATCCTCACAGGATGCCCAGTCTGGATCATGATCTGAAACTTAAGAATCCCCAAAATTGGTAAACTTCCTGTACATTCTAAAGGAAATTTAGAATGGCTTTGCCTTTTATTTACCAGAATCCCTGATTTAAGAAAGTAATCAATTAAGCTTCATGGGGACTGTACCAGTCGGTATGGATGGTTGACTTGGGACTGCCCGAGCATCCTCCTGCGTCCATGCCCCTCTCTCCAATAACAATAGGCAGCTGAAAGACTGATGCCAGTACTTCTATTGGCCAGTTCTTCATATATGGACTCTGCATGCCCCACATTGGGTAGAAACTCAACAGATAGCTTTGGAAATGCAGATTTAATTAATTAATTAAAATTAATTCAACTGGTATTAGCTGTATGCATTTCAGGTGCTAAAGATACAGCAGCAGACAAGATGGGGGACATCCCTGTGTTTGTGAGACACAGACTGTGCCTTGGCTGGAGCACATTTATATGTGTGAAAGACACTGCAAATCTACAGGGCAGATGTTCTTTGATTCCTTCCAGTTATTTAAATTCTACAATATAAATGTTCACTTCATTAGTTTTGAGTTGCAGGGCAAGAAGATAGAGCTTCATTGCCCAACCTCACTTTAGTTACTATCACCAGCTCTTCATCCCTCCAAAGTTTTTGCGTGAATTATTGAAAAAGACAATGAATTGACATGAATTAGGCACCTACTACGTGTCAGGCTCATCATATATGATACTCCATTAAGCCTATAAAATAGGTATCATTGTTCCCATTTTTGAAGTGGAGCTCAGAGAGGTTAATTTACCCAAGTCCACACAGCCACTGAGTATCAGAACTAGAAACCAGGTTCATTTGACTTCAAAGCTTAGTATATATTTTTTCCCATTAAACCATCCTGCTTCACCAAAACTGCCTCCACACCCTCTAGAAGAAAAGATCTCTCATCCATAAACATAACAGTTGACATTGCGAACAGAGTTCAGAGCACCTCTATGTTATCTTCTCAATTCATTTGCATAATAAGCACATTTAAGAATATTTTACAGGGCCGGCCGAGTGGCTCAGTTGGTTAAGAGCTCGCTCAAGAGTTTGAGCTCTGAGCAACAGCGGTTCAAGTCCAGCCCGAGCTGAGCAGCCGCTGAGCTGCCAACAGGTAGCAGGATGGCTCAGCTAAAAAAAAAAAAAAAGAATATTTTACAGTCTTTAACACGTATTGTCACATCAAGTAATTTTTAAAACCTTTAGAGATCAAAATGAACAGGATTTATATTGTAATTTCATAGTTTCCCTGCCCTCACCTTTGATGTCCCAGTGAACATAAAGGAAACATGAGCCAAGAAAGTAACGCTTTGCAAATCACAATGTTATTCTTAAAATATTTTCTTGTTTCAAGAACAATGCTAGCTCTCAAAATGTATATGCAACTACTGATAAATATAACAATTACTAATCGCAGGAGGCTCATATTTTAAACAATGTTATATATATGACATATATAATTTGTTTAAATAACTATTATTATGCAAATATACATATATATATATATATATATATATATGAAGAATAAAAATCAACTGAAACAAAATTAAAATGGAGCCCCACTCCTAAACGAAGCTTTATTTGAGAAGAAAATCTAGAGATAGAATCCTGGTTTCCTTTTAGCCACAAGCATATATCCTATAACTCTCGAAGTCCAGATGCCCAGACAAAGAGATTGGAGGTGTTTACTCTGTATCCGCTTAATCAGAAATCACATTAAGTCTTTACACCCAACACCTCCCACTGAAGTCTTCCAGAAAGTGCATGCCATAAAGAGAACAGGATTTGGCCCATCCAGTTCAAAACTGTCCTGGAAGTATTGACTCAATTTGATTGAATTTCCTTTATTACCCTGAGGTGACACAGAAGAATGATAAAAATCTATTATTGGACGTAGTGCCAACTAGGGGAACCACCTCAAATTCTGACCTAAAGTAAAGGGCGGGGAGCAGAACGTCAGAATATATTTTTTAAGGTAATATTTTAATACACTTCTCAAATTTTTGACATTTTCTCCTCTTTGTACTTGTTTAAATACAGAAAACACCCCCTAAACCACAAAATATATTCCCTTTCCAGTTCTAAAAATAAAGCAGCCTAAATACTGCTGTGAATTTTTTCATTAAAAAAAAATGGCTTCTAGAATATAAGCACATATGTTTGCTTCAGCCTGACCCCCTGGAGTCACAGGTTTATAAATTGTATAAAAGTATATAGTGTTAAGATGTTTACTAAAAATTATTAATAGGTTTTCTGAGTTATATAATTTAACTTCCCTGTGACTATTTTATAACAAGCATTACCTCCACTAACAAAATAATATGTTTTGCTTGACAGATTAGTCATGTACTCATACGACACTACAGGTGTACCAGGCCTATTATGGCATCGGTTGGATGCCATGGAAACGCCGAGTAGGGTGTGGCTGGAGTGTGGGGGAGCTTAGTCAAAAAGAGCTGTCAGTTGGCTCTACTAATTTTGTGCTTCTCAGAATAACGATGTCAGCTGTCCTTTTCTCCAAGACATTTCATTTAGAAGACTTTCCTGAAATACTTTCTTCCTGAAATAGACAGAACTGTAGGCCGATGTGTCATTTTAGTTAATCAAAACAAGTAGGCAAATTAGTCTCTTTTATTTTTTAATGAATGTAATTTAACGGTATTTAATTTGCATACAGGAAAGTTCACCCAGAAAAAAAAAAAAAGTCTGCATTGTAGCACTTTTGTAAACCTCAACAAAGCCCTTCATTAGGGGACCTAATTGATTTTTCCTACCCACTCCTGGGGGAAGAAAGCTATCACAGTACCTGCTTATTCACTCAGAGAAGAAATGGGTGTGCTCGGTGTTTCAAGCAGAGATTTGGGTTAAAAAGTCCTGTGGCTATGCTCTTGCAGGGAGATCTTGGCCAATGCTTGTTTCAAGCATTCAGGAAATCTCTTTTTCTGAGCAATAGGGGGACATCGGCTTGTCTGCTTGGTGTCCTCTCCAGGGGCCAATTTAGTTCAGCTTTAGCCTTCACTGGAATTATTTTAGTTCTTGTTTATTTGAACCTGCCTTATTCCAAAAGAGGGATTTTGAGGCTTCTTACAGTGATGCCTAGACTACCATATAAAATAAATGAGAAAGTGAGGGCAATCGGAAATTAGAAAGCCAAGAAAATATGAAGCCAGGAATGGAGGTCAGTAAAGAAAATGTACGCCAGAGAAGCTCTTGTGGTTGATGGACTTGGGTCATACATTTGACCCTGAGTTGCACAGGGACCAGAACAAAAAGAGAAAGAACAGTTATAAGATTTATAATGTCCAGAAATTGAAACAAAACTAGTCGATCTGAAGTCTACCTTTTTCTGATGTTAAAACCTGACATGATTTTTCCCATGGGCCCTCATAAAGAAGGTGCTGTGTGATGTAATGGAACAGCCCCTCAAAACATCTTTTCAATAAATGTGGCTCTTGATGTACAAGTCCTTACACCCAGCAGATGGCCAAAGGCCAAAGCTTAGGTCTGTAACAACGGTTCTTCAGGGGCCTTGCACCGCACTGACGCTTCTTCAGTAATTCATTTTCTCTCAAAGATTCTCCAAGCTTTTCTGCATCTTTCCAGCCTCACTTCCTCCCAAGCCTTTCTCTGCTGTTCCTCCCCACCCTCCCTACTAGCATTTAGGAGGCTGGAACTACCTCAGCTTAGAGAGTCTAGGAGACTGCCCTCCCCACTACTGAAAGGCCTTTGTGTTTAGGCTCCTAGCTCTTTGAAGCAAGTGAGGCCTGGCATCCATGGAGTAGTCATCTCCCCCCACCAATACCCATAACCCCAGGCCTTGCCTGGATGCTACCTGAGTGTACCTTGCCCAGGAAACAAGACTGCAGCCCAGGGAATTAAAAGAGCTTGCCTGTGGCAAGTGAATCAACATTTGGTGGCAGAGCCAGGGCTAGAACCTTCTCCGCCTGCTTTATACCCTACAGTTCTTCACTTTTGTTTTTGTTGTTGTTGTTTTTAGTTCTTCACTTTTTCTTGTGCTCATCCCATGTAGGATAAGATCACTTACTGTGTTTGCGGACTTTTATCTATTTATTTATTTTGAGTCAGTTGACAGTCACTGCAGAAGCTTTCTTAACCGTGTTCAATAGATGTGCGAGATATCATCGCGAGGAATCAGGAGGCTGGTGTGTTTAAGACTCGGAAAATATCAAGCTGGTAAGATACCTTTCTGCATCAAAACATTTGGATGGGAGCTGCTTTTCTCCATACTATGGGTGATTAATAATAATAGCTAACATTTATAATAATAATAGCTAACATTTAGTAAACACTGTGTGTCAGGCACTGTGCTAAGCTCTTTAAAAGTATCTTATTTAATGCTCACAAGAACCCACAATGAGGGAGACAAACAGTTTTATTACCTTCATTTCATAAATGAGAAAAACTGAAGATAAGTATGTTATACACTGGGCCGGGAATGATTGAAGAGCTGGAAGTGTACAGTATGAGATTGGGAGAGGCCCAGCCTAAGACCTTCTTATTATAGATCTGTTCCATTGGTTCTCGACATGGGGGCAGTTTTGCTCCAGGAGACTTTTTTTATTGTCATGACTAGGGGCATGGGTTTGCTTCTGGCATTCAGTGGGTAGAGGCCAGGGATGTGCTAAACATCCTAAAATGCACAAAACAGCCCCCACAAGAAAGAAGTATCTGGCCCAAAATGTTCATAGAGCCCCAAGTGAGAAACCATACTTGATTCCATGATTCTAAAATAGTCTCGGTATCCATTCCCTGTTAGATTTTGTTAATTCTTATCCATACCAATAGAAATGCTTACCCTCAACCAAAACAATGTATGTTTGTTTTTTCCTGTAATGCTACATTTTATTTTTGCCCCGTTCGTATGGATGTAGAGGAATGAGTAAACATTTAGTAGTTTTTACATGAAATATCTGTCACTTGTACATTTTTCCTGCATATGTTTAGCTCCAAACGTTATTAGGACAATCTAATTTTTCATTATTTAATTTATTTACTATGGTTAATCTATCATCCTTTGACATTTTGAGTTTTCTCTAAATTACGGTGCTTTCCCACCCCAACTGCTCATTTAGGGGTTGGGGCGGCGGGGGGAGGTGGATGTATCAGCGATGCTTAAAAACAAAAGTGTTCAACATATTGGGATGAGGCTGTGAACTAGCAATAATTTTTGTTCTCTTCTGTTCATTGGTGAATGTAACGAAGTGTCCAGATATGTTTTTTTTAAATCATGCCATTAGAATGTTCAGAGTAGACCAGTGGCACTGGGGGCAGTGTGCTCTGTGTTCCTCCTGTGAATGAACAAACCAGTTCTGTTTCCCACAAAACCTCCAGCAAGTCCCGAGGAAGAGCATTTCGTTACCTGCTCTTCGTTCTTAGGACAGCCTTTCCTCCCCGCTACAGGCTGCCATGCCCTTCTGGGGAGGACTTCGTTTTTAGACGTGATTTTCAACCTGGTCTTTTAGTTATCAATCAAAAGCACATTTTCTATGTTGTCCTCATTTACATTTATTTAATGCTTAGGGTCATTCGTGACCATTTGAGTGTATTTCAGCATATGGAATCAGGGACTAATAGATTTCAGCATCATGCTGTGAAGAGAGATTGTGTTTTTCCAAGACAGAAGGTTGTTTACTGGGTGTTAATAATCACTAATTAATAAACATACCTAGACTTCTAAAACGTTACATTTTGAGGAATAAAAATGTCAAGTGTTTAACTTATGGAGAGTAATAGTATTTTCTATCTCTTCATAAAATAATTAAGTTACATAAAAAAGCAAAATGTCTTTGTTCAACACAGGACATACCCCAAAGGCTTAATGCATGGCCTTTGTTTCTATATATCTGCTCTCAAAAATGCTATTTATAAATACATTGTTCTGATATGTACCTAGACATAGTCTATATGTCAGCAGTCACACAAGAACCTCCAAGATAGATTTTTTTCCGTCTTTATTTCATATTAATTGTGGTCAGCGTCTTTTTTTTTAACCATCACAAGCATTTTGTCCAAAGTCTACTAAAGCGCTTAGTCAGAAAACAGGTAGATGAGTCAGTCCTTGAAATGCCTTGATCTTGTATTAAGAAGCTACTTGACCACTTAACCTTCAAGAAGCTAAGAGGAAACTGCCAACCAATGATGTAATAATCAGTATTCCCCTTCTATCCACTGCTTTCCCACCCATAACCAGTACAAGATGATAAAAGCATTAGCTCCACGTGAGAAGAAATAAAAGGAAACCGTTCACAAAAGAGCTAAGATATGGTTCAATATTCCTTTTTAGTGCCTCAATGCATATTCAGAATTTCTTCTTTAAATTGGAGGTGTGGAATAACAGTAGCGACAGATAACTAAGAGGTATTTACCAGAGCTACAAAGCCCACACGTGAGCCAAATATTTCTGCTATTAAAAAGCACTTCAAAGCTTGACATGAAGTTTGTAACAGCTGAACGTCTCCTGTGACTTCATTTGCAAAGAAGATATAAAAGCAGAAAGGAAAAATCATGATATGAGAACTGTGAGCCTAGGAAATAGTGTTTCTAACAAGGAATGACAAACCACCCAGAAGTTTGACTGGCAGCCCACGCTCCCGTTCTCACTGTTCTTAGTAACTGCCAGCGTTCGTCCTGTGAGCCTCTTCTACCGCTGACACTGGGCTGACCCTGGCTGTGTGGGGCCTGACTCTTATTTTGAGGGCCCTCTTGCGAGGGTTGAATTCAATTATACCTTACTTTGGCAAGTTTTACAGCAGCCTACTGCCATGCAGACCCATGACCAGGGCTCCTCGGGGGCCTTGGAAGGGGCCAATGTAAGTGAGGGGTCCTGGCACTCAAGCTCCCTTAGCTTCCCAGGAAATTCACCCCTGCTCTCACAAACACCACCACCCTTACCTAGAATAACTAACTCTCTTCCCTTATGAACTTTTTTACTCCCTCTGTTCCATTTGAATCCCAGTCTGACTGTTGCTAAATATGAAAGACATGTTTGCAAAAGCCCAGAAGCTTTAGCCACGGCCAAGCAAGACCTCGGTTAGATGTTCCTATATGAAGCATATATAGCTCTTACAGCTCAAAGAACATAATGCAATCGTTTGATGTTTCATTCATTTGTTCATCCATGCAGCCATCCATTCATTTCACTAACATATCTGAGGTATTCTGCCTTTAAGAACATAAATATGGAGTTAGCAAGAATAACTCTTGAACAAAGGAAATTGTGCTACTAAATATAGCTAGAGATTGGTGAAAGAGCAAGGGTATTTACAGCATCTCAATTGTTAGGTTTACCTGAAGCTGTCTTCAAGACTGTGACTGTCTAATAAAGAACCACTCAGAGCTTTTGACGTCTACATATTTCTAGGTGTTCCAGAATTAGTGAATGGCGTCATTCTCCGGTTAATATTAGTTACCAGTTACCAAACTTTAAAAAATCTATTAAGTATACCTTGCTGTGATATTAACAGTGGGTTTCTACCTAAGAAAAGAAGTTATCTTTGTGTCAAAATTGCTAGTGAATTTAGGCTGTGACTTTTATTATTCTTTGATAAACCATTAATCTTAGTAAGCTATAGAACTTATGATAACCTTTAAGACTTTTTTTTATAACTCAAATTTTACCTTGATATAGGCCCCCAGGACTGGCTATTGGCCCCATTGCCCTACTGCTTTTTAAGATTTACATCTTTTCTAAGGCTCATTTTCCTTTAGAGGTTAAATTGGGGATGTGGAAAATGATTTTTTAAATGTAAACCCCAACCCAGTGGGATGCAACTGCTGACTTCCCAGGCCTTCTGCAGTCTTCTCACTTTCCTCACTCCTCATTCAGTCTGACTTTCACTGCTCCCCAAAATTCCCCTTCTCCTTGGTCACCCAAGCCTCTTCATTCTCCTAACACATTTGGTCCTTCCCATATCTGGCCCTTGCCAATCTTAGTCCCCTCTCCTCCTACTCCATCTAAGTCTGTCCCTCTAGAATGGCTTAATTACCATTTCCTCCTGCCTTGTTAGACTATTTGATCCTGCCCTAATCTATCCCCTCTTTTCATTTCTGTTGTCCTTACAGTAGTCCCACAGTAAAACATGGCATATTATTGTTCAAAGCATGTTGTCTTTGTTTTCATGTTCATTAGTTCATTCATTTCTTGACACGTATTTTGAACTCACCCTTCTGTCTGCCAAGTACTGGAGATGTAGTGATGAACAAGACTGAGAGTCCTTGCCTTCTTAGAGTTCCCATTCTAGCAAGGGACACAGGTGATTTTTTTGAAGGCAAAGATTCTGCTTAATACGTTCTTGTATTCTCTGAAGCAATTAGTATACTTTATCCCTGGTATAGGAAAGGTTTTAAGATTTGTATTTGGAGCACATTTTGAAAGATATGACTCCATCAGCCTTACGGAACCAAATAATTTTTAGTAGAAGAAAGTCAAGCTCTAGAGATTCAGACATCAGTTAGCATATCAGGTAGCTGACTTTCATTTCAAGATAGGGTTCTTCTCAGTATGTGCGGTGTCTGTAGACACACTGACATTGTGAGTCGGCATTTATCTGCCCTTTGTCAGGTTGAAGAGGAAGGTTAGTAGAAGGTAACTGAGATAAGGAAGCTGATGGCGCTCTTTGAGAAATATTCTGATAAAATATACCTATTAGTGAGTTTGCTAGAATTATGGTAACAGAATCTTGAGAACTGCTGAGAATTCTAGAGATGCCACAGTCTTGTTTCCTTCTGTTGCTATCTTGGATATGGAAAAATGAAATTTCTATGGGTATTTTCTATTACTAACCTTTTTTTATTTGCTTGGCAAGTTTATTGAAGGACTCATGTCCCAGGTTCATTTGAACTGAAAAAACCAACTCCCACAGGATGTTATCCAGTTTCAGATATTTTGATAGAATTCTTTTTGTGTGTATTAAAATGAGCTAGATTTTGGGCCAGCCGAGTGGCATGTTGGTTAAGAACTGGCTTAGGATGCCAGAGGGCCCCGGTTTGGATCCCACATATGAGGCCCAGTGACACTGCCCTCTATAGCTAAGATGCTGAACAACAGCTCAACCTGGAGCTGGGCTGCCGTGGGTCGCCGGCAACGGCGTGGGCTGCAGTCCCTTGCTGCAATGGGCTGCCATAAGCTACCGTGTGTAGCCAGCAGCCAGTGTGAGTGGCCAGCAGCCGCCGTG